AAAGAAAGAAAGAAAGAAAGAAAGAAAGAAAGAAAGAAAGAAAGAAAGAAAGAAAGAAAGAAAGAAAGAAAGAGAAAAGAAAAAGAAATTTAAAAAACAAAACAACATAGGGCTAGGGCTAGTGATCCAAGGAGCATCTGTGGACACAGAGATTGTCTTTCTTCTCCATGAGATGAAGTATTCCAGCAAATACAGAGTGAGTAAAACAAGCTCATCTGAGGAATTGAGGACAGTTCACTGACACAACTGCTAAAATTGATTATCTAAACTCCTAAGGAATTTAATCACATTGGTTACTACAGGTCTAATGATAATAACCATCAAGCTAGACAATTTCTCAGTGACTTTGCTTGACTTCCTTGGTTTTAAATATTATATATGTGCCAGTGAACCCTGTATTTATGTCATTGACACACATCTGTCCTCTAAGCACCAATTCCTAAGTGAAATTGATTAAATATTTCTACTTGTGGTGTACATCTACAATCCTAGCATTCAGGAGCCTGAGGCATTAGTTCAGGCAAGTTCAGGCAAGCCTGGCCTGGACTACATACATAGTAGAACCTTATTTTAATATATTTATAATATTCACAGATATATGTGTGTTGCCTGCATGTATATCTGTGTGCCACATATCTGTGAATGCCTTCAGAGGACAGAAGAGAGTGTTGGAACCCCTGGAACTGGAGCTACAGACAGTTGTGAGGTACAGTGTGAGCCCTGGGAACCCAGCTGGTGCTCAACACAGGCATCTTTTCAGACTCTTTCCCTTTGGAGAGGGGGAGGACAGTGTCATGTAGCCCCGACTAGCCTCAAACTTGCTATGTAGCTAGAATGATCCTCCTGTCTCTACTTAGCAAGTGCCGGGATTACAGGTGTAAACCCACACCGAATTCATTTTAACTCTGTGATTTCCACTACTAATGTATACTCAAGGTCTCATCCTCACAGGCTAGCGAAAGGGCAGAAAGGTAGAGGGAACTTAGAACTTATTGTGACCTGCTTGAGCAAGCCAGTCGGGTCAGTCTCACCTATAAAAACAGGAAATGATATTACTTAATCTCCACTGTACTTTCCAGCTTGAAGAAAGCTTGGTTGGAGTTGTCAACTGAGCTTTTTCTGGGAGCTTCGAAACTCCTGAAGCTCTGCTTTATCTTGTGACCAGTGAACCACACAATTCCGTCTCCAGTGCCACCTGCTGGTCAGAACCATCCTGTACAGAAGCGCAGCGACCAGCAACAGCGCATTTGACAGGCACAACTCCCAACTTTCCCCCTTGAGAGTTTTATAAATTGTTACTCCGTTTTGCATAGAAAACAGCTGGCTAAGCCGCAATGTAAACCCCGTGCTTTTAACCATTACATTAATTTAAGCAAAACTTTCATGACGTGCTTAAACCGCTGACGGAAGGAACAGGGGAAATGTGCTTTTCATCCACTTTGCTCTGAGGCATCCGTTTATAAGAAAAACTCTCGTTAGGGTCAGAACAGCCAGGGCAGTGGACGGCTGATGGGGTCGGGGAACCACGATCAGGGAGGACTACCCTTGGCAGTGCAGTCCTTAGGGAGAAGGTCAACACAGCTTCTCCCCCGCCGACTGCCATACAAGGCACTTGACGGTCGGTTACAAATGGCCAGGGCGCCGCGCCCGGGTGCGGGCTCAGGGCTGGGTCAAGTCAGGGCCTGGGGAGGAGGCGGAGGCGCGTGCAGCGCTGCTGGACCTCGGCGGAGCTGGGGACAGAGTGTGGCAGGGGGAGTGGGACCGGGTCCAGCCGTGGGGAATCGTACGGGTGCTCCAGCGGCGCGACGGCCCGGGTGGGGTCTCGGCGAGCGGCGAGCTTCCCGGCGCCCTCCCGAGGGAGGAGCGGTGCTCCGGGACCCCAGACCCGCGGGGGAAACCCACCTGTACCGAGCGCCCGGGTCAGAGGTCACGGGAGACCGCCCGAGCCGGTCCCGTCCCAGCCAAGGGCTTCAGGGCGCACCGCACTGCGGACGGCGGCTGCCGAGGGTCAAAAGTCAATTTGCTCAGGCCACAGCTGGCGACCCGCTCCCTCTGCTCGCTTAGCCGAGCTCCGCAGCACTACAATGCACCGACAGCGCAGAGGTTTCCCAGCAGGGCCTGCCTCACTTGCCCTGTGATTGTACAGTTCTAGCGCCGCAGACCAGTACATGCTCGTCTATTCTATTTGAGCCAGGCTCCACGGATAGTCTGTGTATGGAAAGGGAAAACACCAATTCAATTTATTAAAGCAAGGGAAGCGCCGGCCCTTAGCTCGTGAGCTCTCAGCGTGATCTACTTAGCTAAAAAGCAATCGAGGCTGTAAATAGTAGTAGTGCACACTGAAGCCTCTGAAGCCCAGGTCCATAAACTGATTAAGGGCTGTGTGTGGAAAAAGACGATTGTGGACCAGGGACTTCATGGAAGATTTCAGGCACATGACACGGGCATTACTCCTTGCAGCTGAATGAACACTAGGTGATATTTCAGCAAAAAAGGGGCCGAAGCAGCTAATGGGCGTGCTGGCACTTCCCGCACAGTAAATCAGAGACTGGGCGAGAAAGAGTACTGATAGACTGTGTGTGGAATACCGATTAATTCTGTGGTTAACAGGGAATTACTGAAAAATTTGGGTCAGAGGCACTAGTGGCAATTGTATTTTGTATCTGGCAGTATAGATCCCTTTGGAGAGAGAAGGATGAAAGGCAGGGACCCAATTACAAGAGGAATGGAGCAGCCCAGGGACCAGCGAAGAAAGACTGAATTAATACTGGTGACTGAAGGAGAGCTGCTCTGGCTCTCCTGACTGAGAAAGGAAAGGGTTCAAGAGGGCCGGGGCTGGAGAGCCAAGTAGACCCGGTGTGCCAGGGAGACCTGGTGTCGCTGATAACAGAGCTAGAAACCTTGAGACAGAAGAAAGAGAATGTGAAGGTATCACAAATGCTCTTCAAGTTGAGGAAATTATGGCAAGTGAAGATACCCAAGTTGATTCAAAAGTTCCACTTGATGCATGAATCATATGGTGAGGCCTACCTGGGTCACCTCTGAAACTGGGGTGCCCATTATCTGATGGGCAGTTCTGAAATCAGATAGAAACTCATGTGTGGCACCATCCATACCAGGACCATTCTTGCTACAACTAAACATTTAAAAAAAATTTTTAATGTCCTATCACAGAAACATGTTGACTCACTTGAGACTGCAGATGTGCCTGACACATGGGGGTCACTGGTCATGGGAAACAGGTATTGTACTCAGATCCTCTTCTTTGGATATCTCTAACACAATTTTACAAACTCCAGAAGTGATACTTACACTGTTTTTTGTTTGTTTTGTTTTTTTACTTGCTTGAGTTTCAGGAATGAGCCACCATGTTTTCCTTCTGCCAATTCTTACCCTCCTTGAAGGTTAACAGATATCTGCTCGGATCGCCTTGAAGCCCACACATCCACGACTTTAGTGGTTGCACCAGTCACTTGTACTCAATGAGCCTTATGGCTTAGACTACAAATGTGGCTACTTTGTCGATTATTCCATGACCACCCTGATGACTGCTATTGCTTTCTTGTAAGTCTTAATCTGATTGCTATACTTTTTAATCCTTTTTTGTTGTTGTTTTAGAGATGGTCTTCCTAACTTGGTCAGCCTTTAAACTCACTATGTAGACAAAGAGATCTACCTACCTCTACCCCCACCTACCACGTGCTAGAATTAGAAACATGTACCACCACAACCAATCTTTTAAAAAATTTTTATGAGTGTTTGCCTGGATGTCTGAGCACCACATGCAGTGTTCCTGGAGGCCAGAAGATGGTGTCAGATCCCCCTGGACTGAGTTACAGATGGCTGTGAACCATCATGTGGGTGCGGGGAGAGCATCCAGCACCCTTAATTTAAGCCATTATTTCCCCATTGTAGCTAGCTTCTTGAGACAGCATCTCACTAGCTGATTTAGAGCTCAGAGATCTGCCTGCTTCTCCCTCCTAATGCTGGAATTAAAGTCATCTGACCAAACACTATAAATCTGAGAACTTTAGACTGTGTCACCTCCAAAGGTGACTAGAGGTCAGGGTTGGAGTAGTTCTCAGTGACACACGTACCCTTTAGGCAAAGTGGCCAGGATGTCCTTGCATATTCTTTTATGATGTCTATATATACTTTTTACCTGTGGCTGACAACAAATAGAGATGCATATGATAGTCTATCATAATAGACTCTCAATAACACAGCTTTCTTCTAAGGCTGTCACAGGAGCTAAGACGCATCCCTTAATTCACAAACACAGACAAAGTTAGCTTACTAAAGAAGTTGTTTCAGAAATGCCACAGCTTCAGACCAGGTTCTCCCACTATTCATCACTTGAAATGCCTTACTTTCTTTTAAAACCTAATTATTTGAGTTTAAATAAATGGTCTTTGTTTTCAGACAATCTTACTATATACAGTTCAGGATAGCCTCAAATTCACTAGATAGCCTAGACTAGTCCTGAACTCATGGAGATACCCTCCTGCCTCAGCCTCCCAAGTACTGGGATTAGAGGCATGTACCACATCTCTTTAAACCTAACAACTATTACTTAAAACTTTTGAGATAGCCTTATTATAATTGTTTTATAGCTTTACTATATAGCCCAGACTGGCTTCAAACTTGCAATCCTCCTGCCTCAGCTTCCTGTATGCTAAGATTATAGATGTGTTCAACAAAAATGATTTTTAAAGAAAATGAATCTTGTTCCAAATTGGGCCTGTAAATGGGAAAGGACTGACCCTTTACTACCTGACATGCACCTGCAGCTGGAAGCCACTTCCTGCCCCAGTGAGACGACCTAAGATCATTACACTTATTTCCTGACCTTCCTTCCCATCCTTCCAATTTCAGAGCAGGAAAACAGGAATACAGGCAGGCAGCACATAGAGGGAAGGACAGGGACTTGGCTCTCATATCAATGACTATTCCTGAGGAAAGGAGACACAGATATCACAGCACTGCGCTTTATTAGGGACTTCATTAAGGTTAAACCTCTAGGAACAAGGGAGTCCTATTCAGAGGGCACAGCCCATCCAGCCTCCTCAGATCTCATAGTGAACCACGGGCTCAGGCTCTTTGGTAGGATCACCGCCTCGCTCCAGGTACAGATTATTGTAAGGATACTGCTTCGGACCCTAAGGAAGAACACAAAAACACAGAAAGCAAAGGGTCAGCAAGAACAACAACCAGCCAGCTGATCCTGACTACACGTTACTTGAGTTAACAATCACGCAGAACAGAGCGCCTCTGGTCAGACCCAGCTGAGCTAACCTGGCAGAGGAATGTTCTTGCCCTGCTCAACCCGCAGCAGAGAGAGTGCCGAAGTTGTGAGAGGAGTGGTGTCTGCCCTGCAAGTGAGCAGTGGAGTGGGAGGTCCAAGCCAGAGCTTCTAAATGAGATGGTGCATCCATCCATCCTGCTCTCTCTCGGGGTCGAGACAGACTCAATCTCCTCTAAGTCACTCAGCCTCTAATGGCTCCACCACTAAAGTGGCCTGGCAAATGAGGCGTGCAGCAGTGGCGGGGGAAAGCAGAGGAGACGGGGCTGGGACGTGCTCTCGGGGCTACTGGCTTTACCAACAAACAGCTGTCAGAGAACACAGCTCACAGGGAGGAGAAAAGGGTGATGTGCTTACAGAACTGAAAAATGGAAGAGCCACACTGCTCCTTGCTCTCCTGAAGTGAAGTCAGTGCTCACCACAGCCCCACACGCTCTCCAGCAAAGAGTCCCCAGGGCTTAGCAAGGCTCGTGTCAGTGAACATGCCCTACCAGTTCCCTTTGGGACCTTATTTCTGCAGAGCTAGCACTGGGCAGCCGATTGCAAATACTGCAGCCCCCTGCCTTCAGTGCTTCTCTTCTCAAAACACCCTGGAGACACTCCTAGACTAATCTTCCTAAGAACCTGGCCCACATCATATAAGGCTTCTAGTCCCATACAAAGATGGCTCCCTGGTACTACTAGAGGCAGCCCAAGAAATCCCTGCATCCCTACCCCCGGTACAGTCTGCATCTGGTACATAACAAAGGTTATATAAATATTTGTTTGATTATTACACCACTCTCCCATCAAGTTCAAATCCTCAGCTATGCAATAAAAGCTACCCAACGGAGCTAGTCAGTTCACCTAATAATCTAGTGATCTTCAATTCTAAATGCATTTCATACGTACCTAGAAACTGTTGAGAATATTGATTCTAGGACCCTAGTGTAGAGCCATAGAATTAGGGCTTCCAAGAACCAGGCCTGAGAAATACGAGTGTATGGGAGTTCTCTAGGAAACCCACTCCTTAAATGGCTGATTTAAATGTTTGGGTATTGTTATCACATTTACTTATTTAATATCTAGGTGTGTGGGTACACCGCTACCATGGACTCATGTGGCAATCAGAGGACAACTCACAGGAGTCGGTTCTCTCCCTTTTACCATGGGGGATCGGGGACTGAACTCAGGTCAACAGGCTTGGCAGCACGTGCCTTTACCCACTGCGCCATCTCATCTGCCCTATTTTTTATATCACCTAACTCACCATCTGTCCCCTCCTACTGTTCTCTCCTGTCCCTCATGGTTTCTCTGACCTCTCACAACCCAAGTCCTTTTTTCTTAGCCCCTAGTTTTAATCCTGCTCCCTCTGCACATTCACTGTAGGTGGGCACACACAAGCCGTGCCAGGCTCGCACACACGGTCACATGATGCTCATTATGTCTTCTATCTAAGGGGGGCCTACTACCTCCTTTAAGCTGGGAAGTATACTTTCTATGTCCTTTGAATGCTCTAAATCACAACTGTCTATGCTTATCCCGACAACTCTTTCCAGTACCCTGTAGAAAGTGCCCTTCGTGTGTTCAGTACAGGATAAGGTTTCAGCTCTAGAGTCTTTGACTCAGCCTTGAAAGGCCAGTCACTAAAATATAAGTGGGAACTATAGTCCTCAAATGGAAACTCTGAAGATTAGCCTCCACACTCTAACCCACTAGCTAGTGCTCAAATCTGTCTCCTCAGTTATCTGGTCCATGCAGTGGGGCAGAGCAGAGCTCAGATACATGTTGGCCCAGAGGGTAAGGCCCTTCATCTTCCTTTTGTTTAAAATTCTAGGAAGCCAAACTTGGCACTGGATACTTTCTTACTCCTGCGACCTCACTCCCTCAGGAAAGGAGGCAAATGTGCTTTGGAGAGTAAATAAGATGCTCACCACAGGCTGGTAGGAAGGGAACATGTCCCCTACCCAGAACATGAAAACCATGAAAGCCACGAAGCCGAAGAGATGTTTACACATGACATCCCAGGACACAGGTGTAGGAGATGTGTCCACACGATTCCTGATGTACATGTCTAGGTCCCAGTGTATCTGTGGCAGAAAGGGACATAACTGTTAGACAGGTGTTCTGGCTAGTCTTGTGTCAACTTGACACAACCTAGAGTTATCTAGAGTTATCTAAAAGAAAGAAACCTCAATTGAGAAAAATGTCTATAAGATCCAGCTGTAAGGCATTTTCTTAGTGATTGATGGGAGAGGGCCCCACCCCATTGTGGGTAGTGCCATCCCTGGGCTGGTGGTCCTGGGTTCTAAAAGAAAGTAGGCTGGGCAAGCTACAGGGAACAAGCTAGTAAGCAGCATCCTTCCATGGCCTCTGCATCAGCTCCTGCCTCCAGCTTCCTGCCCTGTCCTGACTTCCTTAAATTATGAACAGTGATATGGAAGTGTAAGCCAAATAAATCACTTCCTTCCCAACTTGCTTTTTTGTTATGGTGTTTCATCACAGCAATAGAAATCCTAACTAAGACAACAGGCAATCTAGAATGGCCAGAGCCTGATACAAGGCTTCAAAGAAGCATTACTCTTCTTAGGACAATATTCTGACAGCCAGGTCCAAGATACACAGGGCCAGCCTTAAAGATAAATGCTGGCTCCACCAAAGGTTGCTCAAGCATGTCCTGCACAATGTTCACAGTACACAGGACCTTGGATATTCCTGTAAGTTCCATCCCACGTGCCACATGCAGAACTTCAGGTCTCAGATCACTGGATCTTGCTTCCTTGAGCAGAAAAGCTTAGCAAAAAAAAGTACCATTTGCACTAAGGAAAGAGTCCCAGGAAAACACAAGGAAACTGAGAGGAAGTGAAACAGGTAATGGTTTTCTTACCGGTTCACCCCAATTCAGCCTGAGGTCTGGGTAGTCCCAGTCATACCACGGATCCCTCTCATGCTGTGAGCGGTTAGGGAGCATCGGGTAGTCACCATACCTGCGAGAGATAGCAAGCACTTCTGGAAGGGACTGTCACAGTCCCTGACGATCCAAAGCCCTCATCCCAAAGATCAGAAACAAATCGACATATATACCTACATCACTTAGAAGAACTTACCCCCAAATCAAGATGTCTTAGTACTAAGCACAGAACCAAAAAAGTCCAGAATATAGTTAGAGGCTACGTCAAATCCTGAAACAACATGGCCTATCTTCACTTACAAAGAAAAGTCACACAACTCTGTAATTAGAACTAAAAGGGAATTTAGCAATCAATTACTCCAGTCCTTCACTAGACAAAATCTAAATACAAAGCCATCCACGTTTGTTGGATAAAACAAAGTAGGTACACATTAGAAAAGGCTTTTCTTCTCCATAGCTATGTTTCTTAACCACAAATAGATATATACCCTCATACTTCAAACACCTCGTTGGAGGTCTTGCTTAACTGGGTTCTCCCCCTAAAAACCCAAGTTCCCCTTATGCAGACTACTTCCCAAGCTGTTCCAGTCCACAACAGAGTAAAAAACAGACAATGATAACTTGACATGTGTCAAAAAAATGACTGAAAAAAAAAGAAAAATGCTAACACAGGAAGGAAGTGATGGTGATGTTTAACCACTATTCATAATTAACTGTGTTATATGGATAGAGGGCCAGAAGAAGGGAGACTAACAGCAACTGGAGAACGAAGGTTGACGTGTAATTTGCTTAACAGTCAATGGGATTTCCATATCCCAAATGGGGAGAAAAAAAAAAAAAAGACAGACGTACACAAATACAGAGTACCCCATCCAGAACAAGGTTCTCATGACAGGAGTCCAGCTCCGGCATGGTCACGTGCCTAGATGACAGCACCTGCGCCCAGCAGATGCTCAATCTAAATGAAAACCCAGTGCTCTGGATGGAGCCAAGAAGAATTTCGATATTCTGGAATCCTCGAGGGAGCTATTAAAACCTTGGCTTCCTCATTTGAGGAAACAGCCTGAGCCAAGGAAAAGAAATGAAGTCTTCTCGGCTGCAGCTGCTCACCCACCCACTCCCACCTCCCCCAACCAAGAAAAGCACCCACATTAATGATTCTGAGGGGTCACTAGAAGGATCAGGGAGAAAACGTCAGAGTCGCACCACCCAATCCAACCGTCTTCACCCACCACTGCCCCTGAAGCGAGCAGACCTCCTCCACCTCACCCCATGCCATCATCTGGGTACGGCTCGTAGTCTTCCACACGCATATTATACTTCTTGGCGGCCGCGGCCCGTTCTTCTGGAGTCCTAGGATATGACCCCGGCAACATGTCCTTGGTCATGTGGAAGGCTGGACGCAGAGGGATGCAAGTCAGATGGATACGGTCCTTTAGCCACCCACTCAGAAAAGGGTTAAGCCGCAGTAACTGCAGAGGTCGGAGTTCCGCACCTTGCAGGACCACAGCAACCCTGTATCCTTTCTTTAAACACACTAATTCACCGGTCCCCCAGCCCCCTTGTCGGGACACCGCCGCCACTGTTCCAAGAATGCCTCCCTCCCGAAGCAACAAACTCCAGGCACCCCTTCCCACACGGTGCAGACCTCTCCGTGCCTCCAGTGGCACCACGCCGCGGGTTGTCCTTTGCAGCCACCGGACTCCCAGGGCTGCAGCCCGGGAAGCCGCCATCTTCACCTTCTCCGACGTTCACCCTGCACATGCGCAAAGGCGAGTCACGGTGGCTGAGCGGGGCCAAACGCGATCGTAGAAGCCAGTGAAGAAGCCCCGTTGTCAAGCTGGGCGGGCTTAAATACTCCGTAGAGCCCGGGCAGTGAGCGGCTAATGGGGTGCCAGGACAGACAGCAAGAAGGAGAGAAAACAAAGCTATCGCTCATTTGATATTTCCGGTTATAGTGTTCCTTTCCGCCTCCAGCTGACTGCTTTTTTTTTTTTTTTGACACTTTTAGGGCTGCTGCTGCCAAATACCTGACAGCTGAGCAAAGTAAAACCAGCCTTTTGTCCTCACACACTGCCCCTTTTCACACTTAGCTCTTGGTTTTGTTTGATCCTTTCTCCAAATAGGTTCACCCCTTTCCTTATATACTCAAAGTTGGCTCCTTAGTCTCTGTTCGTCTAAACGTCTCAGGCACCTCAACCCAACAAACACAAAACCAAGCCTATTACTTGAGGCAGCTCTCCTGACACAGCCCCAAACCTCCCATTTGTCAGGAAAAAACAGATTTCAAACAGAAAGACCATAATTAACAAACTCTTAACAAAGACTGGGAGACAGGTTTCCATACGTTTAAGTTTTCATTGTATTTACACAATAAGAAGGGTTTGGATATATTACATATTATTAGTATGCACATATTTCCATCAGCTCGTTAGACACGATCACTGTATGTAATAGAATCCGTTCTCAAATGTATAGCGGAGCGACAAACACAGATGTGTACTATTCAATGTATAGATTTGGGGAGGGTCACTGCAGTGCATTTCATCCTCTTGTAGAATTTGTTAGACATCATCAGAATTAATTTGACAACAACTGCATTTAACTAATAGCAAGCCCTGATCTTATGTTGCTCAAGAAATGCATTAGTCTAAGTTATTCATTTGTTTTTTATATTATTTATATAGAATATAGCATATTCTTTTTAAAAAGAAAATTATATATATATATATATATATATATATATATATATATGGGTGTTCTGCCCACATGTGTGTTCGCACTCCACACACATGTGGTCCCAGAGGAGGCCAAAAGGTATTAGATCCCCCTGGAACTGGAGTTCCAAAGAATCCACAGTTACAGGGCTGGAGAGATGGCTCAGCAGTTAAGAGCACTGACTGCTCTCCCAGAGGTGCTGAGTTCAATTCCCAGCACCCACATGGAGGCTCACAACCATCTGCAGTGGAATCATATGACCTCTTATGGTGTGTCTGAAGGCAGCTACAGTGTACTCATGTACATAAAGTAAATTAATCTTTTTTAAAACTTAAAAAAAAATCCACAGTTACAGTGGATTGTTAGCCTTCATTCAGGTGCTGGGATTGAACACTGGTCCTGGATCCTCAGTCCTCTGGAAGAAAAGCCAGTACTCTTAACCTCCGAGACATCTCTCTAGTCCCACAATGTACTCTGTGATGGTAACGTCAGCACTTGAGAAGTGAAGACAAAAAAGTCGGGAGTTAAGGCCAGCCTGAGCTACATAATAAGTTTAAGGCATATCTGGGCTATGTGAGACTGTCTGTGGGGGAGGCAGAATGACTTTTTAAATGTATATTACAAAGGCGTGTGACCATTACCTCTATCTAGTTCTAAAACATTTCATCTCTGCCTCAGAGAAATCTCATACCAATTAGCATATTTCCTCTACGTCCACACATTGGCAAACACTAATCTACTTTCTGCCTCTGCTTTTGCCTAGTACAGCCCAGCCAGGGAGTGGCAGGATTAGATGGTGTGCCCTTGTTGGAGTAGGTGTGTCATTGTGGGTGTGGGCTTTAAGACCCTCATTCTAGTTGCCTGGAAGTCAGTGCTAGCAGCCTCCAGATGAAGATGCAGAACTCTCAGCATCTCCTGCACCTTGCCTGCCTGATATTGTCATCTTCCTGCCTTGATGATAATAGACTGAACCTCTGAACCTGTAAACCAGCCCCAATTGAATGTTGTTCTTTATAAGAGTTGTCTTGGTCATGCTCTGTTCACAGCAGTAAAACTTTTAGTAATATGAGCTTCTAGGTACGATTTATTTTTAATTTTCAAGGCTATAAATTTTAAAAAATTCGAACATTTCAGATAAAACCTTGACGGCTGCCAAACCCCTTCATGGAGATAACCATGTTATCGGTTTGTTACATACAGTTAAGATGTAGCATAATCATATAACTAAGACAGAGTATTAATATCTATTGCTGTGTATTCAGTTAAATTTTGTCTTAGTGTTCTTTAAACAAGTTATAAAATTAGCAGCCCAAACAACACCAACTTATTATCCCTCATTTGTCATGAGTATAGATTCTAGTTAGTCAGCGTGAAACCAAGGAGTTTGCCATGACATCTGAGGCTCTGTGTCCTTTTATAAGCATGGCAGTAAGTGGTCTAATTCAATTACTTGAATGTATAGGACTACATTTCCCATGGTTTTGTTGGCTATTAGACAATAGTCTTTCTCAGCTTGTAAAGAATTCACTTGTCATTCTCTGAAAGATACATATATATGAAATTCCTTCAAGGCAAACCAGATGGATTCAAATCTCCAAGACTTTTGTCTCTGACTAATGTTTCCAGATTTAAAGGGCTAGAGAGATAATGTCAGCCCTATTTGAGATGAGTATCCTTTTTGATTATCTCAAATTTGACTGGTTAGGGACTTTGACTATATCTTTGACATATGATGCAATCCAATTACAGGGGCACTACCCTGTCATAGTTGAAGTGTTTATAAAAAGATAAAGAGAATATGTTTTGTGGGTGTGTGGAGAGGTATGGGGGAAGGGGATGTCTCAGCGGACCCATGCCGAGGCATCTCTTCCCCTTAGTAGAGAATAGAGAGTTTATTCCTGGCATGGGGAGAGGAGCCAGGAGGGTAGTAGAGGCAGAGAGAGGGAGAGGGAGAGGGAGAGGGAGAGGGAG